ACGTCTGCGTCTGGTCTCCGTCTATAGCATGAGAGCATAACTGCAATGGTAATTCATCGACGCGCGTTATTGCGCGAAGTCTGAACGAAGCCTTATCAGGGAAGGACAGTAAATGAAGTGGAGTATGAAATGAGATGTATAGAGTTCGATGTGCCTTTAGACGGTGATTACGAATCCGTCTTCCCCCTCTGCTGTGGACATCTCTTGATGGGGATACAATGGGTTCCGGTGGGGGGATACTCACAGGTAAAACGGATTTCGACACTGAGGCTGCTCAGACAGCGGCACCGAAGCTCAATGATCATAGTCTGGTCTCATGCCTAAAATGTAATTAATTCGTCTCCTATTCTGAATAGATTTACGGTCGACGTTCGTTTGGAATGTATGTCCCTTTCAAAAAACCTACGTAACCTCAAGAACGCTGAGTTGGGGCAAAAGTCAGACCCGAGGCGGGACTCGAAACTCCCGCTGACCAAGTTTGAGCCCTGCCTGGAATCCAACTTCGGCCATAAGGTAGCATTCTTGTGGTACTTTCGATACGCGAACAGTAGCGTTAGACAGCGGTTATCATAGCAAAACAACTTCGTAGGCTCCTTCTCAAGCAAGGTATGAAAGATGGCCTCGCAATCGCCGTCCAAAGGCATATCGGACCGCATCTGTCTCGTTCCAAACAGACCCTCTCACCTACCCTTCATTTGTCAAGTAATCGTGCAATGTGTCCTCAAGCCGTTTAAACAACCATTCATGGACGATGGGCGAACGGCGCACCTGTCAAGTGCCATACTGCTACTGGGGGCTACAGGCCGTAGTTGTCACCTCCATCCCGCCTCTGCAGCCTATTTTCCGCGCCGGACAACTCGTCCAGGTCTGCGCTAATTTCCGGCTGAGCCCAATGGTAGAATAACACCAGCTAACGAATTCTTTGTACGAGAAAATATTAGCAGTATAACAGTCGGGCCCACAATGAAGAGTTGGGCGAAAGAAGTTGGAAATTAGCTACAACAGATAGGCTGCAGAGGTGGTGATGGAGTTGGCTGCTGGGGACGGTAGTACCCCAGTAGCAGCACGAGAGCTGATGACTGCGCTATTCGACTCACACCACCAACCACAATTGAGAAAACAGCTTAGACAAATTGATTTACATCCAACTAACGCTCTCGTGTGGCACCGCACTTTCTCCGCGCAAACGGTGGAACCGTTGGCCTCTGAAGACGACGAAGTGGAAACGTTAGGCCCGATTTAATAAATGTTCCACCTAACAACCTCGTAAGGCAGAAGAAATTAACACTGAGAAAATAGCGTCAGTTATGCCGTTATGGACGTTTACGTACACTCTGTCTGCACATGCCCTACATTTTCGTACTTTCTCTAATTTTAGCGCAAGGTCATAAGGTCTTAAAAAAGTTATGGGTCCGAGTAAAGCAAATCTCGTGAAGCAAAAAAAAACACCAAAGAAAGATACTGGAAGAAAATATTGAAGGGACTTCATATTGAGCTATTTGGACTAATAACTTACAGTTAACTCGATACCCATCTTTAGCATATCCATCGCTTCTTTTATGTCATCACTGAATAGTCGCAGATATTCACTCCTTACGGCGTGTCCCAGATGTCCAATACAACATTCGTATACGATAACACCATCGACTTGTTCAAACACCTGGGGTCATTTTAACGTTGACGAAGAAAAGCAGCGTAAGGGGCGTTCGTACTTTGCATCAGCGTTTTGAGCGTACGGCACCGTTTCGAGCACTAGGAAAGTATGGATATCGATCTTGCGCTTTGAGCACACGCCAGCATTTTCACTGACTGTCCGCAAAAAGTTCAAAACTAGCCGCGAAACGCTCAAAACGCCGGATCGATACCTATACTCCCCTAGTCGCTCGAAACGCTGCCGTACGCTCAGAACGCTGACCCAAAGCACGAAAGCAGCATAAAACCCAGGGCACATCGTTGTTGGGGAATCCCCAATAGGGGGGGTCGTATTTGGGCTGGGAAAAATTTATTTTGATAGTTGATTTTTCTCGCTTCATGGACGTTGTAAAGGGGGGGGGGTCGTACTTGGTCATTTTTGGGAGGGGGGTCGTATTTACGTTTTGGCGTTGTAGGGAGTGGTGGTTGACTTTTCGTGATTTTCCTGTTTCATGCGTACTATATGCCCCCTCAACAGATTTTTGGTAAAAAGTAGGAAGTTTTCGGGAAATTTGGGAAAAAAGTGGCAGGAAGTTGGAGAAAATCTGAAAATTGGTAGAGGGGGTCGTATTGTCTCGCGATTTTTCTTGTTTCACATGTGCCCTTTTCCCCCCCCCCCCCCCCCCCGGCCGGTGGGTTTATGGGGGAGGGAAAGGGGGGGGGGGGGGGGGGA